TTTTTTTTTTTTTTTTTTTTTTTTTTTGGTACCAGGGATCGAACTCGGGTCCTTGCTCTTGCAAGGCAGGCGGCGGAACCACTGAGCCAAATCCTCAGCCCTAGTGATGATTTTTTTAAAGCTGAAGTTTAATATAAAATATGACTTACCAAATATTAATTTGATAATTTTTAAATGCTTAGTACCCAAATTACAAAAGGCATATTTTAAATAATTATGAAGATAGATTTTAGTGTTTTTTTAGCTTACAAAATTCTTAAAATTAAAATAAGTCCATGATAGAAATGTACTTTTTAATTTTAAGCCATTTTTTAAAAGTATTTGTATTTTCAAATATAAGTAATAAAGGTTGTTGGCTTGTACTAGTAACTTTTCAAGATTAGCTGGATTCATTGAATTATATAAATATTTTTATATATTTTTAAATTGCTATGGCTTAGCTATAACAATCTAAAGTTTTGGTGTTGGAGCTGGGGATTTAGCTCAGTAGTGCCACCACCTGCCTTGGAGGCGCAAGGACAGGGAGTTCAATCCCTCATACCAAAAAAAAGAAAAAGCAGTAATAATAATAAAGTTTTGGTGTTATTTGGCACCTGGATTACTGTGGTGTTTAGCACTATTGAGCACATACAGTGGTTTAAACTGTGTTTATAATTACTTTTCAGAGGAATTTCTAGGGATCTGAGTAGAGCTTATTTTTTTAAAGCAGTAACCCTTCTTAGGGTATCAAAAGATTGAATAGCCATTTAATTTGTTTTTACCTTGGAAGAAAAGTGTCATATATTATTTCAAAGTTCAGCATAGGGCTGGGGATTTAGCTAAGTGGTTCTGTCATCTGCCTCACAAGCACAAGGACCCGAGTTCGACCCCGGGTACCAAAAACAAAAACAAAGTTCAACGTAGCTAAATATAAATGCCTGCTAGATAAATTGGATAACCATTCTGTAACTATAGAGCAAATCAGCCAAGAGATTTTGAATATGATTTTTACCTATAATAGGTAATATTTTATTCTAGATTTAATATCCTGTACTAGATATTCTCTAGCAGTGAGTGGGTTTTGATCCCTATATTTTAATAAATAAAATAGGCCATAAATTCTGTATCATTAATTTGTTATCAAATTTAATCTAATTTAGGGTTTCTTTTGATTTTCCTAACTCTTTTCTGTAGAGTAATTATTTGGTGTTCATGGCAGAACTCTTCTGGTGGTTTGAAGTTGTGAAGCCGTCATTTGTACAGCCTCGTGTTGTTTGTCCACAAGGAGGTAACCATTTCTTTAAAAATTTCTAATGTGGAAAATAATGGGACGTTTATGTCACCTCACCTAGCTATTCTTTTAAAGGGAAGCTGATTATAGTTTTAGATTTCAGCTGTTATCTTTGATTGATTATCTTAAAGCCACCAAATCTTCTGTGAAAAGCTGATGATTAAGCTGGCTAGGGGGATAGAAAAGAACTTGGAGAGAATGGCTCTGATTGGAAACTTACAACTTGGAACTTTTAGCTGTAACTGTGTGCCATCTACTTCTTTGCATCTTTTACAATATCCTGATGTTTTGATTGTACATAATAAGAATAAAACAAGTAAAGAAGTTACTGTAAAGATCTCTAGCAATAAAGAACAAAAATTCTCCTTAACTTTCTCTAAAGCAAAATTTTGCATAGTAAAACAAATTTTTCGTTGGCTTCCATTTTAAAATCAGATGCTTGGGCCGGGGATTTAGCTCAGTGGTTCCGCTGCCTGCCTTGCAAGCACAAGGAACTGAGTTCAGTCCCCGGTACCAAAAATAAATAAATAAATACAATAAAATCAGTTGCTCATTTCTATAGGGTAGAAAATTATCTTAAATTATAAAGGTTAGCCCACTAAAAAACTTTCTTCCAGAATAAATTACATGACCAGTGCCTATCCTGCCTGATACAAAGCATGATTATTGTGCATTCCAACTAATTACTAGCTTCCTTGACTCCAGATTTTATTTTTCTAATCACTGTAGTTATTTATCTCCCCCCTTTCAAAAAAGTAGACAATAAAGAGGTAAGGAAGGAGAAAAAAGTATTAGCCAAGGAAGAGTATCATTCTAGTGGATACCATGAGTTTACCACAGGCAGCTCATTGCATCTATGGCAAAATCTGTGAAATACGCAGTGAGTATTCTGTCCTAGTGTCTCTAAGCTGTTTAAAGCAGATTCTGAGTATCACGCTGTTAGTTAACAAAAGAATATCTTTTCAGAAGTTGAGATACTTCTCTAAGGCCATTACATAAAAATCACATATCTGTAGTAATTAACCCATATTTGTACAATTTTTAAAATTAAAAATATTTTACCTACATTGCTTTCTGCCATATCTGTAAAGCCCATTACTCAAAATGCGGGGCCAGGGACTTAGCTCAGTGGTTCTGCCACCTGTGTCGCAAGCACAAGGACTGAGTTTGATCCGTGGTACCAAAAAAAAGAAAAATCAAAATGCCAGCAAGTATTGAATTAAATGTCAAAATCAAAAACTGAGTTTTTTTTCCAGAGTTACTTACAAAAATGTAAAACTCTGTGGATGTAATTATTTTCCAGTAAAATTCTGTATTTAACTGATTATCAGAATGCTTTTTTACTATTCCGTAAAAAAGTAAAGGTGACCACATATATTTGAAATTCTGTGGAAGTTTTCACAAAATTAAGCACTAAATTTTTTTAAAATATCTGTATCATTTTATAGTAGGCTTCCCTCCAGTTAGCCTGTTAAGAAAATTCTTTAAAATCAGAATATTTTAGCCGGGGATTTAGCTTAGTGGTTCGGTGGCCTGCCTTGCAAGCGCAAGGACCTGAGTTCAATCCCCGGTACCAAAAAAAAAAAATTAGAATATTTTATTTCTGCGCACCACCAAAACATCAGTGTCGGGCGCAGGTCTCGGTGATGTGGTTTGGTCCTAAAGTTTGGTCGCAGATGTCCTTTGGAAACTATGGAGAGTGACTTTTATCTGTATTACTATGTGGGTCACAAAGGCAAGCTTGTTCACGATTTCCTGGAGTTCCAGTTCCAACCCAGTGGGAAATTGAGATAACGCCAACAACAGCAATTACAAAAATGATGTTATGATCAGAAAAGAGGTCTATGTACCTAAAAGTGTGCTGGAGGAACTGAAGAGAATCCTGGATGACAGTGAAATCACCAAAGAGCATGACACTTGGTGGGCTTCTCCTGACCGAGTATGCTGGCAGGAGCTTGAAATCATTATTAGAGATGAACACATTTCTTTCACAACATCAAAAATTAGTTATTTTATTGCTGTCAATCAGTCCAAGGACCCTGAAGGCCTAAGAGTATTTTATTATCTTGTGCAGGACCTAAAGTGTTTGGTTTTCAGTCTTTCTAGATTACACTTCACAATTTCAATTTAGATTGAATATTGGACCCGTGGCAGGGGCAGTTGTTTTTAATTACCATTATCAGGAAATTTTTTAGTACATCAAGGCAATATTTTTTATAAACTATAATTGCCTTCAATAAATGTGAAAAAATAAAAAATCAGAATACTTTGCATTTTAAAATACTTAACTTTTTAAACATTTTTCTGCAGGGCCAGGGATTTAGCTCAGTAATTCGGGCACCTGCCTTTCAAGTACAAGGTTCCAAGTTTGATCCCTGGTACCAAAAAAAAAAAAAGGAAAACATTTATCTGTGATCCAGAATTCCTGAAATAATGTTAGAAACATGCTAATTATGTAATTTTGAGGTTTTTATCTTTTATTCTAGCTGAATCTATAAAAGATATGCCGTCAGTTCCTGTCTTGAACACTGCCAGAAGAAGCGTCTTGGACAGTTCATGCAGCTCTGACTTCACTTCTGGGTAGGTACCATAACCGTCTCTCTTCACTGTTTCTAGTCCATTTCTAACGACATTAAATAGTATACATAAATAAGATTTTAAAATTTTTTAGTTCAATTTTAAAGTGTTATAATTAGCTTAACCTATTAAAGTCTATTTTAATGTAATATAAGTGAAATTTACAGTGAAATAAAGGTTTCATAAATGCCTTTTAATGCACTACAATGAAAAGTAGGAACACATTCATTCTGAGATACAAATAATGTGAAATTAAATTTGTTCTGCATAACTTGCTTATAGTTGAAAATTATCTAATTATATAATTGAGAACTGTCTAATAGATAACTCTGAGGCCTCCCAGGGACTTTAAAGTTAATATTTTAATTTTAAAATTTTTTTTTCGTCTTTGAAGCAGTTTTTTCTGTTGTTTTGTTTCCTAGGTAATATAGCTGTTGAGAGATAGCAGTAGAATATTTATTATAAACATTGAATCTTTCTCTAGTGTTCTGTCCATTAAATGTCATTTTATTTATTTATTTATGTTTAGTACCGAGGATTGAACTCGGGTCCTTGCGCTTGCAAGGCAGGCCACCGAACCGCTGAGCTAAATCCCTGGCCCCCTCTTATCCATTAATATCAGGAGCTGAACTGAAAGCAGTAAAAATATTCTACCTTTTAATATCAAGATAATTCTAACTACTGTTCCAAGTATGTGTCAGGGATAGTTTTGGGAGGTTTTTTGTATATTCTTTGGCAGATACTATAAACAGCTTTTCATTTCTATTTATCGGAAGCTGAAATTTGTATTCATTTTTGGACTCTCCAGTCCATCTGATTTTTAGGCTTAAAATTGGTGAGTTTTCAGAGAGTCAGTCACAGCCATTAAAAGTAAATTTAAGGGCTGGGGATTTAGCTCAGTGGGACTGTGCCTGCTTCACTAGCTCAAGGTCCTAAGTTCAATCCCTGGTACCCACCCACCCTCCAAAGAGCTACATTTAAAAATTTTTTAAACTTACAGAACTTGATAACATTTTTGCTTATAAACTTATTCTGCAGCTGTGACTTTTCATATTTTGAAAGCTTCATTCTCAAGTTCAGATGATTTATGTGACACCCAAGGCTTGACTGACTGCTTGGCGATACTCATTCCCTTCTTCCCTGTGTGAACTGTCGCCGGTCCATACGCTTCTTCCCAATCAAGAAAGCATTTCTTTCCTTACCCTCCAGTTTACTACTATGAATATTCTTGTAATTCCATTAAGTTTTCTATCTACAGCTATTTCTGTGGTTTAGTTCCAAGGAGTTAGTTAAGTTAAATCATTGTTGATCAAGGAGCTTGGGTGTATTTTCCCCATGGCTAACTTCTAATTCTCTTGTCAGATAATATTTAATTTTTCTTGATTGGTTATACAGTGATATTTCCTTTCTTGAAAATTTATAAAATGCTCAGTATTCTGAGCGCCTGGTCATCACTCTCGCTAGCACTATTATATCTTTCAATCCCACCTTAAAGTAGAAAGTGAGACTTGCCTCTTGGCAGAATAGAGTATTCCATAATTATTATTTCTAGGAAACTGAATAAATAATCTGTTACATTTCTGACACTGGGAAGTATTTTAATTTAGGTTCCATAGACTTGTCCCATTTTGTTCAGACATCTGAGTGACTACTTTTTCCTGTTTTTGCTAGTAGAAATCCTTTTTATAACTCCGACATCTAAATACTTTTCCTTGAAGAGTTAATTGTATACTCTCATTCTAGGCTACTAGTCAACCTCTCATTTCTTTAAGTCTCCACATAGTGCTTTGTCATTCTCCAACATTGTGTAACTTTTAAGGAAGGGTTCAATAATTCCTACTCAGGAATAATGTACATTACAGTACAGATGTTATTGTGCTTTAAGAACTTATGAGAAAGAAAACAAATCAAAAGAGATTTTCAGCAGCTGCTCCCTGTATTTGGTGACTCGTGCAAGAGTTTAAACAAGATCAGAATGCAATGTACACTTACAAAAATGAGACAGTAGGCTTTTACAACATTTAGCCATTGCTTGGGGAAGAAAAATGAACACATTTTAGTAATCATCTTGCTTGCATTCATGATTACCCTCCTGTCAGAGCTAAGGGAGGATAGAAACTGGAACACTGATCTCAGAGAAAGGTTTAATAGAAGCGGATACACCGGGGGAGTGAAGTGAGTATTCTCTAAAGTCCTACAAGTGATTACAAGTAAACTGAGAGGGTGTTGCTTTTGGAGAAAGCTCTTTAATTAAGCTTTCATTAAACTGTAATGTTTATAATATATATATATCTGAATTCTTTGACTTGTTCATCTTCTCATTTTACATTAGCTGGAAGATAATATGGTTTGGGTATGCTGCAGAAGTCTCTATATCTTACTCCCCAGTTCTCTGCCATTTGGGAGTGGGAGTGCTTAACTTCCTCACTTAACTGCAAGGAGGAACATGGCAGAGTAACACTTACACAGAGGAGACTAAGAGAATAGCTTGACTGGCCAAATGTCATTATAATTTGAGGAAGAGATGTCTGATCTCCTGCATAAAATAAGATAAAGTAGCTGGGCATGGTGGGGCAGGCCTATAATCCCAGCACTCAGGGGGCTGAGGCAGGATTGCTGTGAGTTGGAGGTCAGATGCGGGGAGAGAAGGAAAGGAAGGAAGGATAAGCTTCATGTTTTATAGACATTGAGGTCTTTAAGGCACAGCTCACTGTCTTAATGTAACTGTTGGAGATGTACAGATACAGGTGGTGAGTATGGAGGCTGTCAAGGTCTTTTGCAAGGTTTTGCTATGTGTGTAGTTTTTAGAAGTTCAGATTTGACCAAAATATTCCAAATTAGTGAGTTTCGTTTAATGTCTCAGTTTTCTTTTTTTAATTTGTATTAGTACATGTTTGCAGTACATAATGATTAACATTCATCATGGAGAGTTGGCACATGTACATAACATATATTAATTCTATTTTTATCTCCTTCCCCTGCTTTCTCTCCCCCTCCCTCTATCTCTTGGTTCCCATCCCTTTTGCCAAAGATCCGTTGCCATTCCTTACTACCTTTTATTTTGTTATTTAATGTATTTATGTTCTGGATCTCTCTTATGAAAAATCATACAATATTTAAGCTTGTATGTCTGATTTATTTCTCTTTATGGTCTCAAGGTGCATCCATTTTCCTATAAATGGCTCAAATGTGTCCTTTATAGCACAGAAATATTCCATTCTGTGTAAAGACCTCATTTTATCCATTCATTTGTTGATGGACATATAGGCTGCTCCCGAGATTTAGTTATTAGGCATGGTGCTTCTATAAATGTTGTTATGCATGAATCACTGTAAATGATAACTATAACTTCTTCAGGAAGATGCCTAGAAGGGGAATAGCTGGGTTAAATGGAATTTCTAATTTTAGGTTTTTGAAGAATCTGTATTGATTTCTGTAGTGGTTGTACTTATTTACTTTCCCACCAGCAGTATAGAAAGGTTCCTCTTTTTTGGGTTTTTTTTTTTTTTTTTTTTTTTTTTTTTTTTGGTACCAGGGATTGAACTCGGGTCCTTACACTTGCAAGGCAGACCACCGAACCGCTGAGCTAAATCCCCAGCAAAAGGTTCCATTTTTACTGCAACCTCTCTAGCTGTTCTGGAATAAGACGGGATCTGTATTGATTTAATTTGCATTTCTCTAATGGCCAGAAATGTTGAACATTTTTTCATGTATTTATTTGCCACTTTTACTTCTTTGAAAAAGTATCTTCATTTCAGTTGCCCATTTTTGACTGATTTCTCAATTTTATTGGTAGAAGGAAAATAATATGCCATGTCTTGTAAGGACCCCTGAGATGTGTGTGAAAGTACCTCATTGGTTGGTTTGAAGACATAAATGGATACATACATACAGCCATTGTTTGTTTAAACAATAGATTGTTTTTAGTTGGAATGCACAGTCAGAGGTGATGCTATTACTTCTTCAGTCATTCTATATAAAATGTATACTAAAGAGCTAAAATGCAACGTTTGAATGTATTCTGCATTGCAGTGGGGAAGGAGCTACATTCACACAGTCTCATCATTTACCTGCTAGATATTCACATCCCCAAGCTCATTCTTCATCTTCAGGTAATTTACATACCTAGGAAATTTTATTTTAGGTAGATTAACTGGGAAATTATTGAGAATAAGTAGAAATAAATATTTTAGTCTTTTTTATGGAAAGTGACTAAACATGGTCTGGGTGGTCTTTTGTCTATGATTGATTTTCTCTCTTGTGGTGCTAGGGATCCAACCCAGAGCCTTACATGTCTCACATGTTAGGCAAGTGCTTACCACTGAATTCATTCCCAGCCTCTGCTAATTTTTCATATGTATCCACTTGTTTTTGCTGGGGAGTGAATGAACCCAGGAGTGTGTGTGTGTGTGTGTGTGTGTGTGTGTGTGTGTGTGTGTGTGTGTGTGTGTGTGTGTGCTGGGGATTCTACTTACTTTTTTAACACTATTAATGAATCATCAAATGTGTGAAATCTGTTAAATTGCTGACTTCAGTGGCTTTTTCTTTTTTTCTTTTTTTTCATTTGAAGGAGGAATTAGAAGGTCTTCATCCATGTCTTATGTTGATGGCTTCATAGGAACATGGCCCAAAGAGAAAAGGTAAATGAAGAGAATTATTCTTGAGTATATTCACATTGTCGGGAAATGTCAGATTTCTCCCTCTCTCTCTGTCTTTTGTTGTTAGCTAGGTTTCCAGATCTAGACTTTAGATTAATATAATATGAAATTGAAAAGGGCCTTATAGGCAGGTGATAGAGAAGTCAAAGGGGCTAAATGTACAAGGCAGCTAAATAGTTCTAGCCTTACCCTGAGGACAATGTCATTATGAGAAATGGGGAAAGAAAGGAAATGTAACTTCAGATAAGTATTCGGTGATTATCTTAAAAGTCATTTATTTGCTGGGATTGCTTAAGGATTTTCTCTCTTTTTTTTAGATCATCAGTGCATGGTGTTTCATTTGATATTTCTTTTGATAAAGAAGATAGCATACAGAGACCCACTCCAAACCGAGGAATCACTCGTTCTATTAGTAATGAAGGACTAACTCTGAACAACAATCGTTTACCTAAACATATTAGGAAAAATTTGTCCTTTAAGCCAGTAAATGGAGAAGAAGAAGCAGAAAGCATTGAAGAGGAACTTAATATAGACCCTCACCGTGACCTCAGATCTTACATGCCCCTTAATGCAAATGAACTAAATTCTAACGAGAACATGCATTACAAGCTTCCCAATGGAGCTTTACAAAATAGAGTTATTCTAGATGAGTTTGGCAATCAGATTGAAACACCAAGCATTGAGGAAGCATTACAAATAATTCATGATACTGAAAAGTCTCCCCGTACACCTCGGCCAGACCAAATTGCTAATGGCTTCTTCCTTCACAGCCAGGAAATGAGTATCTTAAATTCCAATATCAAGCTAAGTCAGTCTAGTCCAGATAACATAACTGATACAAAAGGTGCCTTAAGTCCCATAACTGATACCACAGAAGTAGACACTGGAATTCACGTTCCTTCAGAAGACATTCCTGAAACTATGGATGAAGACTCCTCTTTGAGAGATTATACTGTAAGCTTAGATTCTGACATGGATGATGCATCTAAATTTCTTCAGGATTATGATATAAGAACCAGCAACCCCAGAGAAGCTTTGAGTCCTTGTCCAAGTACTGTAAGTACCAAGTCTCAGCCAGGTAGCAGCGCTTCTTCTAGCTCTGGGGTTAAGATGACCAGCTTTGCTGAACAGAAGTTCAGGAAACTGAATCATACTGATGGAAAAAGTAGTGGAAGCAGTTCTCAAAAAACTACTCCAGAGGGCTCTGAACTTAACATTCCTCATGTGGTTGCCTGGGCACAAATTCCAGAAGAAACAGGCCTTCCGCAAGGACGGGACACTACACAGCTGTTGGCTTCTGAAATGGTGCATCTTAGGATGAAGCTAGAAGAAAAGAGGCGTGCTATAGAAGCCCAAAAAAAGAAGATGGAAGCGGCTTTTACCAAACAGAGGCAGAAAATGGGAAGGACAGCATTCCTTACTGTAGTGAAAAAGAAAGGGGATGGGATTTCCCCTCTTCGAGAGGAAGCAGCCGGTGCAGAAGATGAGAAAGTATATACTGATCGCGCAAAAGAAAAGGAACCCCAGAAAACTGATGGGCAAAGGAGCAAGTCTCTGGCAGACATAAAAGAAAGCATGGAGAATCCTCCGACAAAATGGCTAAAGTCTCCAACAACACCTGTTGATACTGAGAAGCAGTGGAATCTAGCAAGCCCCTCAGAAGAGAATTTAAATGAAGGAGAGATTTTAGAATATACAAAGTCCATTGAAAAGTTAAATTCATCGTTGCATCTTCTACAGCAAGAAATGCAACGCTTGTCCCTTCAGCAGGAGATGTTAATGCAGATGAGAGAACAGCAGTCTTGGGTGATTTCACCTCCGCAACCCTCTCCACAGAAACAGATTCGAGATTTTAAGCCTTCTAGACAGGCAGGCCTGCCATCAACTGTTGCACCTTTCTCCTCAGACTCCCCTCGTCCAACTCACCCATCTCCACAGTCTTCTAACAGGAGAAGCACATCTTTTTCTGTTAAAAATCAAAGGACTCCTAGGCCGAATGAACTAAAAATAACACCTTTGAATAGAACCTTGACCCCCCCGAGGTCTGTGGATAGTCTTCCTCGCCTAAGGAGGTTTTCACCAAGTCAAGTTCCCATTCAGACCCGGTCGTTTGTATGTTTTGGGGATGACGGAGAGCCTCAGTTAAAGGAATCCAAGCTGAAAGAGGAGGCTAAGAAGGAGGACTTGGAATGTAAAGGGGCTCTGGAGCAGCAGGGACCAAATCCTGAAGAAAAGGAGATCAAACCTTTTGAGTCAACAGTTTCAGAAGTCCTGTCACAGCCTGTCACAGAGACTGTATGTCTGACACCAAGTGAGGACCACTTGACTCGACCTACAGAACCGCCTCCTAAACCCATTTTTCCACCTACTGCTCCTAAAAATGTTAATCTGATTGAAGTTTCCCTCTCGGATTTGAAACCCCCTGAAAAGGCTGATGTATCTGTTGAAAAATATGATGGAGAAAGTGATAAAGAACAATTTGATGATGACCAGAAAGTATTATATATATTTTGTTTGTTTTGAAGTTGACATGCTTTTAGTGACAGTTCCTTTTGTTACAAATTTGCCATTAACTCTAAAATATATTTTGAAAGCCCACTTCAGTGTATTACAGTCATATTGTAGCACACTGTAATTTCTAAAACAATATTCCAGTGTGGATTCAAAGCTATAGTAAACCTTTCTGTCACAATCATGCCCCGTATTTATTTTGTTTGTTTTGAAGTTGACATGCTTTTAGTGACAGTTCCTTTTGTTACAAATTTGCCATTAACTCTAAAATATATTTTGAAAGCCCACTTCAGTGTATTACAGTCATATTGTAGCACACTGTAATTTCTAAAACAATATTCCAGTGTGGATTCAAAGCTATAGTAAACCTTTCTGTCACAATCATGCCCCGTATTTAGGTATATTTCCTGCTTTTGCTTTTCTACCTCTTTCTCATTTCCATAAGTGCCTTTTTAAAAATTTTATTTATTTATTTTGAGGCAGGGTCTCACTATGTAGTTGAGACTGACCTGGAACTCAATATGTAGCCCAGGCTGGTCTCAACTCACAGTGATCCTCCTGCCTCAGCCTCCCGAGTGCTGGGATTACAGGCGTGCGCCACCCCGCCCAGCTATAAGGGCCTTTTTTTAAACTAAACTATTCACATCTTTTCTAAGAGTGATTGATTCTATAAGCAATTGGTAAACAGTTCATAACTTCTTATGGTATGTGAGTATATGTTAGGTTTTTAAAAAAGTCATCATTTTTCCTTACATTTTCTTGTAATAATTTTTTTTAAAAGACTGACCAGAGGGGCAGGGATTTAGCTCAGTGATTCTGCCACCTGTCTTGCAAGCTCAAGGACCCCAAGTTCAATTCCTGGTACCAAAAAAAAAACAAAATAAAAACTGACCAGATAGGTTCTTACAAGGTGAAGCATTTTAAATACCGTATAAATTAAGCCGGGCGTGGTGGCACATGCCTGTAATCCCAGCACTGGGGAGGCTGAGGCAGGAGGATCACTGGGAGTCCAGCCTGGGCTACATAGTGAGTTCCAGGTCAGTCTCACCTACATAGTGAGACCCTGTCTCAAAAAACAAACAAACAAACAAACAAACAAAACATATAAATTGGGTGCAGTGGTGCCCACCTATAATCCCATCACTCAGGAGGCTGAGACAGGAGGTTCACTGCAGATCAAAGCCAAGAGTATGTCATAAGTTAGACCTTGTCTCCCACAAGAAGCAAAAACATAAAATTGGAAAGTTACCATTGAAATATCCCCCCTACCTTTTGCATTGCCAGGGATCCAGTGCAGGGGCTCACACATTCCAGGCAAGTGTCCTCCAAGTGAGCTATACCCAGGGCCCCTGGAATAGCTTCTTTAAAAGTACTGGAAAGGCTGGGTGTCGTGACACATGCCTGTACTCCTAGGACTTGGGAGGCTGAGGCCAGAAGGTTCCTACAAGTGAGGGCAAGCATGGGCTACATAGTGAGTTCAAGGCCAACCTAGGATATATAGTGAGACCTTATCTCAAAAAAAAAAAAAAAAGCATTAGATAAAGATCTCACCCATGATCTCTTGAGTGTTGCCTTTCCTATTTATATTCCAAATTGTGGAACAGGTTTTGTTTCTTAATAATCAGAAATAATATTTTGTTGCCGGGCATGGTGGCACATGCCTGTAATCCCAGCACTTGGGAGGCTGAGACAGGAGGATTGCCGTGAGTTCAAGGAAGGAAAATAGGAGACTTTAAGGTAACATAGGCAGGAACATCTGTACCTTTATTTCCTTCCAGCCCTTGGTCGATGAGTAGAGCTTCCTAAGTGGGCTCCCTCTCCCTGTCTATAATCACACCATTCCATTCCATGCTTCATCCTGCTGCTGTCCCAAGAGCACAGCTCCAGTTGAAATCTGAAGAGTTCCCTGCTAAATGAGGTTCTACCTTAGTGCAATATTTAGGGACTTTCTTAGACTACCCTAAACTTGTTTGACCAGCCTCTTCCCCATAATTTCTATTTTAGACTGTTCATTAATGCTAACTTCAAGCTTTTTTATTTATTTATTTTTTTGGGGGGGCAGAATCAGGGCTCAAACTCAGAACCTTGCGCTTGCCAGGCAGGTGGTGGTGCCAGAGCTAAACCTGCAGCCCCCTCAAGCTTCTTTTAAAGCCTTTCTCTCTCTTATGTGGAGGTTAAATACTTCCTCCTTTGTGTCTTTTATTCTAAACATACTCTGAAACTTTAACACCTGTGACCCAGTTTTCAGTTATTTCCTCTTTGTTTTGTCTCTTGGACTATGAACTCTCAGATACTGCATCTCTTTAACCCTAGGGTATAATAAAGTACACATAGTTAGATACAAATATGGATGTTGGAACTGCTGAGTTAATGGTGTGTTCTGACTTCTCTCCATTACCCATTAAATCTCTCCCTAAGCCCCTGTACGAGTAACCTTTTCTGAACCTCTTCCCCTTGTAAATTTTAAACTCTTACATTTTCATATTTTAATATCTATAATCATTGTGTTGTGAATATGTTAGATACCAATGAATTAAGCAATGACAAGGGATCATTAAGACAGTGAACTACCTTTACTGAATGTTACTGTCGTAAATCAAGCATTTTAGAAACTCCCTAAAACTAGAGCTGTCCCAAAGGATCAAGTAAAAGCTGGGCAAGCCTAGGGGCCTACAGATTACGAACTAACTGGATTAAAAGAATTTTTAAGGGCCAGGGATTTAACTCTGGCACCATGCCTGCTTCACAAGCACAAGGTCCTGAGTTCCATCCCTGGTACCAAAAAAAGATAAATCCTTCAGTATAATTCTGAACCTGCCAATCAAACTGCCAGTGTATTGACTTTAAAAAGAGGTAGTAGGGCCAAGAATTTAGCTCAGTGGTTCTGCTGCTTGCACAAGGTTCTGAGTTCAATCTCCAGTACCAAAAGAAAAGATGTAGTAGTTTCATTTGTGTGGTATAATATTGAATAGGTTTTATGGGGTTTTTTGGTACTGGGGATCAAACTTGGGACTTTGCTCTTGCAAAGCAGGCAGTGGTACCACTGAGCTAAATCCCTGGCTGTGGTATAATATTGAATAGCTATTTTTGGAATGCTTTTTATATGAGTGTTTTATTGAGCATATGTTTTAAATACAATTTTAATAATTGGAGGCTAACTCCCCCTGTAGGTTACTTACTACAGTAAAAAAAAAAAACATTTCAGGCCAGGAATTTACCTTAGTGGCACCATGCCTGCCTCACAAGTGCAAGGCCCTGAGTTTGATCCCTTGTACCAAAAGAAAAAACATTTATTTCATTGGTGGTCAGTCCATCATGTGTCCGTTACTAGTTTCAGTTCTTCTGTCATAACTCCTGAACTATTTCCACATTTGGTAGTGTCGTTAAAGTTCAGGTTTTCAGTTATAAGAGTCACCACAAAAATGTGACAAGTAGAAATGAGAACATTAGTACCTAAAATATTTCTTCATGTTTCAATGAAACAACTTAGGATGATCAAAAAGCAGAAAATGATATGGCAATGAAACGAGCAGCTTTGATGGAGAAACGATTAAGAAGGGAGAAAGAAACTCAGCTCCGGAAACAGCAACTGGAAGCAGAAATGGAGCACCGGAAAGAGGAAACAAGGTACAGGACACTGCTGTGTGGATTTTAAATCTTAGCGTTAATGGCTAAGAGTATGTGTCCTCTCTCCGTCTCTCATTATTCAGGTTGACCACTGAGCTACATCCCCTGTCCATTTTATTTTCAGCCAGGTATCACTGTGCTCAAACTTGGTACATCCTGCTTCAGCCTCTTGAACAGCTGGGATTACATGTATGTGTCACCACGCCTGGCCTCATTAATTTTTTCTTTTTTAATGAGTCTGTCATTAGCTTCTGCCAGACTGTTTTAGTTTTGGTTTTGTTTTTTTTGTTTTGTTTTGTTTTGTTTTTTTTGCTTTTGGGTTTTTTTTCCCCCGGTACTGGGGATTGAACTCAGGATCTTATGCTCAAAAGGTGGGCACACCACCACTGAGCTAAATCCCTGGCTCATTAACTTTTAATTAATTAAGTTTAATTAATTTAATTAATTTTAATTAATTTTTTCCGGAGATATTTATAAATGCTGGACATCTGGATTATTGCTGACTTTTATTCCCAAAGTATATCGCCTGACAGCACATTGAAGTTCTCTGAAAACATTAATTTAAAAATTTAAATATTTTAAAATATTAAATTAAAATAACTTCACTGGGAGATATAAATATATAGATATATACACATGTATATATACATATGACTTCAGTTTTCTCAAGTACATTTTTCCCCCAAGTTGCTGAAATATGGTAATTCTCCCTGTTCACACCAAAGCTCACAGCTCTTTCCTGTGTCGCTTATCTTTGATATTCAGAATAAAAACTTTCACCGTGTAATTTTGTAGGCGTAAAACTGAAGAGGAGCGTCAGAAGAAAGAAGATGAGAAGGCACGCAGAGAATTTATTAGGCAAGAATATATGAGGCGAAAACAGCTGAAACTAATGGAAGACATGGATACAGTGATTAAGCCCCGGCCTCAGGTGGCAAAACAGAAGAAACAGCGGCCAAAGTCAATTCACAGAGATCATATTGAGTCCCCCAAAACCCCAATCAAAGGTCCTCCAGGTAACAGCTTATTAGGGAGTCTCATCATGAAACAACACCAGCATGCTTTGCCATGCTTTGATATTCCTAAATTGCATCTTATTTTGAGATTGTGCACGCTCTTATTCGGAAAACAAAAATGGACAAAAGTTTTTTCATGAATTATGTGTATTACATATGCATGCATATATTTAATAGAAAAATGTAAATGTTTAAAATCTGACTTAAATACTAGCTTATTAGTGAACTGTCCACAGATACAGTCTCCCTGAATTATTAACTATCCTTAAAATGCTTATTAACTTAGTGTAAATGTCTTATGTGTCAAATATATAAGAAAATGTCTCTAGAATAAGGAATATAATAAGATCAAGAGTTTGCAGGTTCCTCGTGTAAGATAGCAATGGTCAAGAATCCAAATTTATAATACCTGGAGTTGAGAGAGTATTTTTTTAACTTGCCATGCATTTTTTTTTTAATGGTTCCACGGATTGAACTCTGGTCCTTGCACTTGGAAGGCAGATGGCAGAACCACTGAGCCAAATGCCCAGCCCTATGTCATTTACTTTAAACAAAAGTTTTAAAGAGTAAGAGTATGCATGGTGGGCCAGGGCTTTGGCTCAGTGGTTCCACCTGCCTTGCAAGCGCAAGGACCCAAGTTTGATCCCCGGTACCATAAAAATATAAAAATTAAGTAAATGACATAGAACCAGGCGCAGTGGCCCACACCTGGAATCCAGCACTTGAGAGGTTGAGGAAGGAGAATGGCCATGAGTTCGAGGCAGCCTGAACTACATAGCAAGACTGTCTAAAAAAATTAATTGCCATAGAAACCATAGTTATTCTAAACATGAGGGAAAATAACAGCATTGCTTAAAGAAAAGCTCTGTCTTTTCTAGTCAGTGAAGCCTTTTTTCTTTTTTGGTAGATGGAACTCAAGAGTGCTGTAGCACTGAGCTATACCCCAGCCATTTTAATTTTTTTTATTTTGAGTGATGGTCTCACTAAGTGTGTAGGCCAGCTTTAAACTAGATGTTCTGCCTCAGCTTGCTGAGTAGCTGATGTTACAGGCATGTCCACCACTCCCAGCCAGTGGAACTTTGATACAAAATATTGGCTGAAATTAGTAAATTAATTTTCTACCTAGGAATCAGATATTACTAAATATAGTTTTCTTTGTTGAGGATATCTTAGTAGCACTTTAGTTTGGAAGAGCAAGTTAATTTTACCATTGTTTTCTGAAAGTAGGTTCTTTGTTCTAAATACATTACATATATGCATGCATATTATGTTTAAGAGTTAAGGAAAAGTTCTCAATTTTCATATGCTGATGTTATCTAGTGAACAGACTATTAGTTGCTCCTTTTAAATTTCTAATTTTTGTTCAGGATCACAAATTTGTGTTTTTTCAGTCTCTAGCCTTTCTCTGGCTTCACTGAACACAGGTGATAATGAAAGTGTCCATTCAGGCAAGAGGACACCAAGGTAAGTCAAAAACATATAAATACCTTTCATAGGAAAGATTATGATACCTGCCATTATATATAATTTTAAGTAAAAATTCTTTCATACATTTTGTAATGACTGAATCATAATCATAAATTTAAGTTTTGCTGTAGTAGGACTAATTGGATTCCTGTTAAAAGAAATTATATAAAGAGGTCTGTTATCTTTTACAATTTAGAAATACATTGATAAGATACTTTTTATGAGCAACAAATACTAACAATTTTGCATAAGTAATTGCTAACATGTTTATTATTAAGTCATGATGAGTAGAAACAAAATACATTATCTACTATCAGCCTCTCTATCTTAATTCCCTTTGAATATCAGAGTTTTCCCATTGGAATAACTCCAAAGTAGGCTACCTTTTTGAATTTAACATTTGAATTTTAACACCATGATGAAAGATCTCTTTTGTGCACTCTTAGTCTAGGAGGTAGTCTAGAAGCTAAAAGTCATTTTATTATCTTATACTGTAATGCGCATATCAGAAAACAATGTTTGAATGACTGCCATCATTTTAAAGTTCTCATCCTTGTTATTACTACTCTGCTGTGTTAGTTACCAATTTTTACATGGAAAAGCATTTCTTTTTTTCAACAAACATTTACAGATATTTGTTGTGAGAACCTACATACAAAACTGCATAAGGGGGCCGGGAATTTAGCTCAGCGGTTCGGTGGCTTGCCTTGCAAGCGCAAGGACCCGAGTTCAATATCCGGTACCAAAAAAAAAAAAAGAAAACTGTACATAAAGACAGACATGATCGCTATGTAATTTTAAGGCCCTAGGTTGTCTTTGTTGATGTTCTTACACATACTCTCTGGCCCCAAAGTATTTTTGTATTTAAAACATAAGAAATGTGTTTTTTACAATTTAGATCAGAGTCTGTAGAAGGTTTCTTGTCTCCAAGTCGCTGTGGCAGTCGAAATGGAGAAAAGGACTGGGAAAATGCATCTACAACTTCTTCCGTGGCTTCTGGAACGGAATACACAGGTTAGTGTTGGTATACTTCGAGGGAAACATTGCAGTTTAATACACTAATGAGAATACATTCATGGTACACTAAAGAAAGTTTTATTGGCTCACCTTTTGGTATAAACATAAGAATATCTGATTTAAACAAAAAACAGTAAATTCAAATCATCATTTGCAAGTAGCTCCACTTCAGCATTACTGCGTTTGACAATTGATAGAAATACGAGAGTGTATTTAAATTCTGACAAAACAGTTATTACAGCAAAAGACACATTGCCATTAGTCCCCCTCAGAATACTCCCTCTTTCTTCAAACACACTTACCCATTGTTCTTGCTACTTTTTGGAACCATTCTGGAAGTCTCTCTTTATGAGTATCTTCACTTGTGCTGTCTTGGCTACCTCCATTTTCTGCATGGATTCAAACTACTTACTTTCATGATCATTTTGACTTTGAGGAAGAGCCAGAGTTACACGGTGTCAACCTGGTGAATAACGTTGATGGGGACCCGCTGTAATGTTTTTATGAGCTGCCTTTCCATTGAATGGCCTGGGGCAGCAACTTTCACCATATTTTTTTTTATCATATCTCATAAAAACTCATGAAGGAGGACTTCCAGAACAACTTCAGAAAGTAGCAAGAATGATGAGAGTGTGTCAGGAGCAAGGGAGAGTATTTTTATTTTTATTTTTATTTTTATTTATTTTGGGGGGGGTACCGGGGATCGAACTCGGGTCCTTGTGCTTACAAGGAAGGGAGAATATTTTTAATGTAAACATTTACTGTTTGTTTTGATATTCCCTTGTACTTAGGGAGTTAGTGACTTTCCCAGATTAATGGGAATAGGTTTCTAAACAAAATTAGTGATACATTTCTTCCCTCTACTTCTGTCTCTAAAATTCTGGCCACTTCTGCATGGTAGTTTGAGCCTGAAGAAATTTTAGAGTCTGTCAGCAGTACACAGGTCTTCATTACTGTGTAAAGGCCAGAAGCCTGAGTCCTCTCTCCAGTGTTGGGATTTCAGGTGTCTCAAAGCTGCACATTAAGGCTTTAAAAGATAAGGAGAATTCATTGATCTAGGAGATCATCTATCCTCTCATATACCCACCGAGTCCTCTTTCAGCCTCCATTAGGATGGCATGATTGAAGTAGAAGCAAACTGAAAAAGTCAGTGTTGATAAGGAGAGAAAATGAGAAGAAAGATGAGCAGCATACTGAGGGGTAGATGGGGAGGCACGGGAGAGCAGGAAAGGGGAAGAGCAGCGGGAAGGAAGTGGCCCCATCCCACTGCAGGCCCGCCAAGGCAGAAGCCTTACGGAGCCTTAGTGGCTGCAGCCTTGTCATGTGCACTTCCCTCTGTACCTTTTTTTCCTCCCTACTCTGTGGTTTTTAATATAACCTCCTTCAGCCAGTCTGACAGCCTTCAAGATCTTGGATTAGACATTATTTCCATTACTCCCTCTGCTTCTCTGTTCAGTTGAACAGTCTGAAAGAGATGTTTTTTCTGTTCTTAAAAGCTTCAAGCTGGGCGTGGTGGCACACGCCTGTAATCCCAGTACTCGGGAGGCTGAGGTAGGAGGATTGCTGTGAGTTCAAGACCAGCCTGGGCTACCTAGTGAGTTCCAGGTCAGTCTCAACTACATAGTGAGACCCTGTCTCAAAAAAAACAAACAAAAAAAAAGCTTCAGTTACTTATAGGCCCATTCTGCTTTAAACTCACTTATAACCTTAACAAACCAGCCTGTAGTGTGACAATTACGGAAATATCTGTTTCCAGTGCTCCTCTCACAAGGCAGCCTCAAAAAGCCATAGGGTTGTCCTACAGATATATCCCCCCTGTGCAGATAAAGCAGTGCATTAATTGGAGTGCAACCAGTAAAAAGCCTTTAACATAAAATTTTGTTGTGTATAGCAATTTCATCAGTGGAGAAAAAATGACATCAATTTAAAATAGCATTTCTGCCTGGCATGGTGGCACACATCTGTAATCTTAGCACTTGGGCAGCTGAGGTAGGAGGATCACTATGAGTTCAAAGACAGCCTGTGCTACACAGTGAGTTCAAGGCCAATCTGCACTACCTAGCGAGACCCTGTCTCAAAACCACCCCAAAATTAAACAAACAAAAACTAAAAACTAGAGTCAAATAAAATAGCATTTCTGTGTTAGAGATGTTATTTTATTTTATTTTATTTTGTCTTAAATCCTCACCATAGGACCAAAGCTCTACAAAGAACCCAGTGCAAAATCCAATAAGCACATAATACAAAATGCTTTAGCCCATTGCTGTCTGGCTGGAAAAGTAAATGAAGGTCAGAAGAAAAAGATCCTGGAGGTAAGTATGTTTGCTTGAAAGTTAATTTAGCGACATTCTAAAACTATAGAGGTCTTTTTACCAAATCTGAGAAAATTCTCATAGGCCTAATATTTCAACAGCATATAAGAGGTCTATAATGAGATGCTTTAGTTATTAGATCTAGTTGAATCTCTAATTGGATTCTGGAAGTTGGCAGATTTAAAGATTAAGAAGACACTTTAGCTGGGTGTGGTGGTGCAAGCCTGTAATTCCAGCACTCAGGAGGCAGAGGCCAGCGGATCGCTGTGAGTTTGAGACCAGCCTAGGCTACATAGTGAATTCCAGGTCAGTCTCAATTACATAGTGAGACCCTGTCTCAAAAAAAAACAAAAAAAGAAAAAAGAATACACCTTAAAATGTATCATTAAAATAGGGCTTTAAGACCAAGGATTTAGCTCAGTGGTGCTGCCACCTGCTTTCAAGCACAAGATCCTGATTTTGATCTCCGATACCAAAAAAAGGTGGGGGGGGGGGGACTGGGGGGTATACTCAGGGCTAGAGTACTTGCTTAGTATGGAAGAGGCCCTGGGTTTGAGCCCCAGCACCACCAAAAGTAATAAAAGTAGTCATTAAAATTTGATCAAAAAATGTTACACAGTAATATAAATGTTCAGCAAAATATGTAAGGGTTTTTATTATTGTTTTATTTTTGTTTTCTGTTCTAAAGGAAATGGAGAAGTCCGATGCCAACAACTTCTTAATCTTGTTCCGGGATTCAGGCTGCCAGTTCAGGTCTTTGTATACTTACTGCCCAGAAACTGAAGAAATCAGTAAACTGACAGGGATAGGTCCTAAATCTATCACTAAAAAAATGATTGAGGGACTTTACAAATATAATTCTGACAGGAAACAGTTTAGCCACATACCTGCTAAAACTTTATCTGCCAGTGTTGACGCAATTACCATTCATAGCCATTTGTGGCAGACCAAAAGACCAGTAACGCCCAAAAAACTTGTACCTACTAAGGCATAGGAGCTGGGAAATACTTGCTTCAGAACATTCATGAATTTGCACTTCATTTTTCCTGACTATAGAAAAGCTTTCTAATTGCCAACAAGACTTATTAACTAAAACTGGACATTAACTCTGTTGTCATGAACAACTGGAATGTAAACCACAGTATTTTGGAATGCAGAAGATTCTCGCTTAGGTGGTAAGTCCAAGTGATGAAAGGAAGTGCTTGACTCACAAATGGAGATCTGTGTTACTGGATTCATTTGCTTGATGCTAGATAAGTGGAAGCAGCCCTGGATTCTCGTGGACACGAGGGAACAAATGTCAGTGAAATATGGCTAGGATTACAAATTAGGTGTTGTATTGGTTGCTTTTTTTTTTTAACCTTGTACTGTACATGCTTGTCTTCAGATGGTTTATTTTGTTCCTTTTCTCTCCTGAGGATTTATTCTAAGATACTTTTTATTTTGTTTTATGTAGAGATCATGAAAGTAAGAAATACACCTTCAGAAGTAACTTGCACCTTTTTTACAATGTTGAGAAACACTAGTGTTACATTTTACAATGACCCTTATGTTTTAATGGTATTAGAGCATTTGCAAAAATTATTCTAAGTATTTACCATTCTGTATTTATTATTCACGCAAGTATTAATATTTCTGTATTAAATAAGAAGTGTTGTAAAGAGCTGCTAATAGGTTTGCTTTAAACCACATGAGCTTAACCAAGAATATGTTAAGCAGTTGCTGATTAAATCAGTGCTGTTTTTACACCACTTCTGGCCAACTCGGAATAATTTAGATTGTTCTTTTAACAAAAAAGGATTTCTATCTCTTTTAAAGTAAGTCACTTTATAAGCTGGCAGAAGTGAATGACACTTTGAGAGTAGTCTTTCAGCCTGAAGATGTAAGATTTCCTGAAGCAAGTTCTCAGGAGGTCTTTACATTAATATTTATAACTGATACAAAAATTATATTTAGAAATTTTAAACATGTACAAAGGGCTACATTTTAATTTTAAAATAGCTTCACATTATCTTACTTATGTTGAATTTTTCTTCTTTTTAATTGTTTTCAAGTGGAACAGCTTAGGTTAACGACACACTTGAAATCTCCTCTATGTGATCTTTGTTCTTTAACAGTGTATACCAGAGGGTTAGTTAGGGGAAAACTTCATTCTCAGGAAAAGACTTGAATGATTATGTGACCCTGTTATGTTTCAGTGTTGTGACAACTGTGTAAACTAGGGGAAAGGCAGTATTATATCATAAATGAGATGCGTAGATTGTTTTCTTTAATGGGAAGTAGAAATGAAAATATATACATTTCTCTAATTGAGTTGTTTAGAGAGAGAACTAATGTCTAATATGATGTATTTACTTATTTAAAAAAAAAGAATAGGAATGAGATGTCCCTGAGCTGTACTTTTCTATTATTATAAGGCCTTTAGGCATCAGTGCATCTGGTTTACCAACATTTTCTCAAATGCTGTCAATATTTTACTGTAATTTATGTTCTTATATTTATGTATATTTGTTAAAACTGTAAAAAATATTCAGATCTTTTTCCAATACCTGTGCAAGATATATGTGTAGCTCAAAACTATTTGTGATCTGCTGTTTGCATGTGAGAGACCAGGATATGTAACTCTTAAGTGTATACATATTATGTATATAATATATAAATATTAAAATGGGGAATTATACATCTTACCTTTCAGACAATTTTTATCACAGAAAGGATCATCAAATGTTGAGATTATCCTAGTTTAAAATAATTATAAGAATCTAATCAGAATGTGAATAATAGTCAAAGAAAAAATTTAATAAGCATTTTACATTACTAAATTTGTTCTTTTCCATCAAATTTCCCTTACCAAGGAAATCGTCTTGTTATTATCTGGTTATTAAATAAAGAAAACTTGGATGCAAGACAATGAAGGAGCTATTGAACCCTCGACAAGACTAACCTTTACTCTTACATTTGTGTGTCCAGCAATTGAATTGAACATCTGTAAGGTCTAAAGGTAGAATGTGAATATTGCCACAAAGTTCATTGCTCTCAGTACAAGATTTTACTTTATTGATGCAAAAGAAATATGGAGATACTTCTTTAAGTCTGCAGAGTTTTTATTTGGGTGCATCTTTTTTAAAATTACGTTTTTAAATTATACAAAGGAAAAAAAAAATCCCATTTCATAAAGTTTGGAGATTTTTGTCAACCTTACTGAAACACACTGGTGCTTTCATTATTGAAGGTCAAATTATTGTAATTATTCAATTAAACTTGCCAAACACTTGTCATGGTTATCAGTGTTTGACATGGCTTTGGAAAGCTTTTAATTCCTCTTGGTTTTTCAGTTTTGTTTAGAATGACTGTTACAGTTTTTATTTGGCTGTTTAAAGCCAAAGTCAGCTCTTAACTCTGACTTCATGGATACTGTTGGGCGATGTACAGTGTATGGTGTGCGTACCTGTCCACTCTGGAGCATTGCTTACAGGTTTTTTAAAAGATGCTGTGCTGTAAAATATTGTCATATTGCTATTTCCTGATACAGTGTAGTTTTTCCCCTTTTATTTGAATAAAAGCATGGCACCAAATGACTCCTGCTTCTTGAGTAAAATATTTTAAACATATTTGAACTTAGGAGAACTCATCATGTAGTTTTCCAGTTCCTTGGCCTATGTGTAAATTTAACAATTTGAATATTCATATGAGATGATCTTTAATAATAATAGATATTTTAAAAATAATAATAATAGATATCATATATTGACTTATGGCAATGTTAAAGTATCTCATTTTCTCTAGTAAGCTCAGATGGTGTCTATATGTGGCATATAAACGTGTGGTCCTCTTACATTCTGTCCGTATTAATTCACTGTGTTCTGGTGAATTAGTAAATCATAGAATTAATACTCTATGCCTTTAAAATTGGCTAGTGAACTTGCTGGTCTCTCTCGTAGCCATGAGGAGTAAGTTCTTAGAAATTATTTTGTGAGTATCACTTTGATTTTGGTGATTCTGTTCATTCAGACCAGAGCAAAAAAAACCAAAGGTCTGGCTAAAAAAGAACAACCAGGAATCTTTCTACGCATAGATACCTGAGGAAGTACCTGCTGTTGTCTAACATAAATGTGCTTTCCGCCTTGGAACCTTTGCCTGTTGACAGGACACACAGCTTCCAAACAGCTACACTGCCACGGTACTTCCAGCACTTTGGTTTTCAGAAATAAAAATATTTAACTCTAAAACCCAGGCATGTTAGAGAAGTAGACAAAAGCCATGGTTCCCTCGAGCCCACACACAACTTAAAGGTACTTTCCCTGACCTGGTTAATTGATGGATCTCAACTGGGGCAGAGGAAAATACTCAGTGAAGAGGAACACATATCTTTACTTTGTAACCTGCCTAGGCAGAGGTAATAAAGAGGAAAATCCAGCAAAGGACACACTGCTGTAATGTTGTGATATAGGAACCAGGAATTGAAAAAAAAAAAAGTGTCTATAAAATGAATGTGAAATCCCATTACTCCTTAGAAATACATAGATGCTTTGAAAATAGATCTGTGTCCTAAATGGCGGTTTTTACTTTTAAAAGAAACAGGCGAGATTTTAATGATTCTGTATAACTTGATGAAGCAGGGGGTATGTCAGAGTTGCTCTTCAAGTAAAGAGATCTAGAAGCTAGTTTGTTTCATCTCCTTTTTGTATTTTGGGGCTTACTGGCACCCCAGTATCTCAAAGTCAGATGTTTACACAACAGATAGATTTTTTGCATGCACCGAATATCATCGTGGTAGTTAAAACTAAGATTTTTCTCCATTTTTATGGTGAGGGGGGGAATGTTTTTCATGATGAGAATAAAAGCAAATGAGTTATTTTGGGACCTACTAAGTTTTTTTTCAACATGCTAAGCAAATGATGCCTAGCCTACTGGTATATTCCATCATCCTTAACCACAGTCTGTTGAGGTGGTTGAATGTGCGTCTTCCTTCGGCTAGTGCTAGAGCCATTACAGAGCTACAGGACACACAACAGCACATGTCGGTACAGCGCGTCTAGTTTACGGTTACATCCCACTGTGGGGATTCCTGGCCCTGCCTAATTTCATATTTAAAGGGTTGCACATTTTCATGAAAAAGGACAATGTGGCTTTCAACCCCAAAATAGAAACTATCCACTTAAATATACAGTTTAAGTTTATTTAATTTGTTTTGTTGTTTAACTTATCACTGCCTATGAAGATGTGCATTTACATCTGCTTTTTACAAGTAAAGCTTTAAAAGATTCCTAACTACACAGGGGCTCCAGGCTCCAAGTGGCAACATCATAACAACTGACTCAGCTCCCTTCCACTGACTTGTGTGGTGCAGTTTCCTACTGCATTATAGAGACTGAGGCAGAAAAATACAGTAAGTCTCATAATTACACTAGTTAGTAATATATTCACCGTTGGTGGAAAACAGTTGTACTTAAATGTTGGCCTATGGCTCAACTAGCATCAATACAACACCAGCTAAAATCAGACTGGTGTTGCCCCCAAAATACAAACCCTAAGTGGACTTCCTTGGCCTGACTCCCTCCAGTCCACACTTAGCTTTCTGTGGGGCCTGAGTGTAGCTTTGGTTCCAGTTTCCTTTCACCTTTCTAGTCCGTCCCTCTGCAACCATGGGCCAGCATCAGCACGGTCTGAGTCCTGCTCTGCTCCACCTTTCCCCACCCCAGGCAGGCCTTAGCCATGGGCTCTCTCTGTCCCCCACAGTCTGCACCTCTTGCCTGAAACCTCTCCTGTCCCCACCCATGTATCCAGTTGCCATCTCCTGAAGGTCCCTTTTTTTTTTTTTTTTTTTTTTTTTTTTTTTTTTTTTTTTTTTTTTTTTTTTTTTTTTTTTTTTTTTTTTTTTTTTTTTTTTTTTTTTTTTTGGTACCAGGGATTGAACTTGCAATGCAGGTAGCAGAACCAGTGAGCCAAATCTCCAGTCCTCCTGAAGGTCCTTTATCCTCATCTCACCCATTTAAAAACCAAACATCAGCTGCCTAGCAAAGTCAGCTCCCCTTGAGGGTCTTACTTTACTTTCCTCTCTGACCAACAGAGAAGGGCTTCAGGCCCAGACAGCCACCACATCCTTTCAAAACTATTTGTACTTTCAGTCTGTTCCACATTTTTACTGCCACCAGTCTTGTGTTGAGTCACTGACAGCTCATGCTTAGCCCTGCCCTTCTTTCCCTAATTCCATTTCTCCCTCCAAACTGTCCTGCAAATTGTTACTCAACCGCTGGTATCATCATCTCACAGCTTATCAGCATAAAACTCTTAACTCCTAACATCAGCATTCAAAGCCCTCAAAGGCATATCCCAAATTGCCTTTTGCCAGCAGCAAAACTCCAAACTGCATATGACATTCCGAGATATCACCAAAGTGATAGGAAAAAAATCAAACTGCAATGGACCCTTGACTTACAAACTTCCTGAGGGCTGGTTGTAACTCAGATTGCTCAATTGAAGGTTCAGGCCCCTTCCTTTACATAGCCTTCAAAGTCTCTCTGTCCTTACAGACATTGGCCCAGGATTCCTGAACCCCACACAGGAGAGGATGATGGAATGTTCCTTCTAGAACTCAGGGTTAGATCTGTATCTGAGACTATCTGCAAGCACAAGCAACCAGCATTCAGGTTGTAACTCAAGACTTTGGTCTTAAAACTAAAATTCCAATCATAACAAATTGTTCATATGTCAGTCTGGTCATAACTCAGTCCACTGTAAGCACTTTCTGGTACTTACTTCAGCATTGTTTTTTTTTTGTTTGTTTGTTTTGGTTTGGTTTTGATACCAGGGATCGAACTCTGGACCCTGTGCTTGCAAGGCAAGCAGGTGGCACCACTGAGCCAAATCCCGAGCCCTCAGCATTGTTTTTATTTGACTTTCAAGGAGGACTAAGGTGGGGAGTTGTGATTGTGATCTCTTCTGTGGTGGGGACCACTGAAGATGTTCATCGTGCTTTTCA